TTACGCTCTGGTGAAGAATCATTGTCCTGGAGAGTGTAAACATTCTAGTATCCAAAATGAAAATTCTTCTGATATTTCTTTTGATCTTTCTTTTTGTTTCGACTGCGTTATTGGATAACCAGAGATGCAGCGGGCTGCCAAGTCTCTGTGTGCGCAAGCAATGTTTAGGGCTCCTTTTATTGTCCCCTCTCCATAACAGGGAAAGCAGTGCAGATCCCAAATAGGGCTGTTTTGTTACCGATGGAGAACACGGACATCACCATTGGTCATGGGTTTGCGAAAACGGCTATCACCCATCGCTCTGACACTGTATAGAGCTCCATCTAGCGCCTTCCAGTAATATCCTTTAGATGACCCAGTCGCCCTCACTCTCTTGCCAACGGACCTTACAAGTGAACTGTGTGGAATCAGGGTAAATCCCTACAAAACTCACACAAGTGATATGATTAAAGTGATGAGGGCTTGCGCAGAAACCTGCATACTTTTCGGAACTACTCATATACTCACTCAGTGCAAATAAATGCTTTTCGTGTAAGAGTTTTCCATCTCCTAGACCAGTCGTGTTCTATAACACTAAAGAGCCTGGTCAGCCCTAAAAGGCATTATTTGCCCATAGCTGGGACCTTAACAGGTGCTACCACCCCGCGTCAGGGAGGACCTGGCAACAACAGAAATTAAAACAGGTTCCACGATCCTTAAATCCTCCAATCTCACAATCAGAATACTTATATATATATATATATATATATATATATATATATATATATATTTGTGTGTGTGTGTGTGTGTGTGTGGATAGATAGATAGATAGATAGATAGATAGATAGATAGATAGATAGATCGGGGGATTTAAACTTGCATTAGATTAAATAGTATTAATAAGAGTAAAAGTCATTCAGTTAAACAAGAAAAGTAACCTGCGAAATCATAATTTTTAGCTTGAGTTTGAATATTGGCAAAGAACAGCTTTGGGGAGAAATATACCGCTGGCACTGTCACCTATGTCGACCTCTTTTAAAACAAATTCCTCTGGTTCCCAACATGGTTCATATGTTTTCGTTTGGAAAAGCATTTTTACTCCCAACCCAGGTTTGACATTGACCGCAGGATCAATCTTACTTCAAGGATTTTAAACATCATCCTTGCAGCGATGCCGTCAACACGCTCAAGTTTTGCTAATGCGCTAGGAATCATATGCCAGGTCTTCAGGAAGACCTTTGTGTGTTCCATGTTTCGGTTAGACTAAGCAATCTCCATTTGCCGAAGAAAGCAGCTGTTGCTTCTTACGCATGCAAATGAGGTCCCCAAACCAACATTCGTTAATATACACTTGATGTGCTGAAACGTGTAAACTTTCAAATCTCATTTATGTTTCTGAGATGAGGTATTGTAATTATTTACACTATTTACATTGTTTGGACTGTTTCTTCATCATCTTTGCCATATTCACGATGTTTCCGGCCTTCTTCAACTGATTGGAATTTCGAAATAAACACTTTATTTCGTCCATCCGGAACTAAAACAATCTATCCAATCACCTGAAGAAGGCCGGAGCGTGCAGCGGCCGAAACTTTTTGAATATGGCAACTTGCAAAGCTTTCTGCAAACATCTAAATCAAGAATATAATGTGCGGTATTTGGAACGAGCATGCTGTCAGTGATGAGATCGAAGTGTTTTAATAACTGTGCATGTCATTTTGGGATTTTTCTGATAAGGTTTTGCTTGATGAACACGATTTACGAGATTTACACAAAATTATTCACGTCTTTTTGTGGAATTCAAGGCTGGTATGATTAAAAATCAGCTCACCTTTTAGAAAAACTTGAATTTCTACCTGAGCATGTCTGTAAAATCTTCAGAAATTAACCTGATGTCAATCCCCACTAGAATCATTCGAAAAAATGGCTTTGCCAAAATCGCTCATAAAACAGAAAAAAATTATCTGTTTAATAGCGAAGCGGTTTGATAGCTGGATCATCCACGGTAAAGTGGCGTTTACATTTCTGCATTCTTGGCAGATTGTCTAGTATCACAATGTTGGGAATAAAATTATAGGAAAACTGAATGAAATCAGTAAGACTACACGTCTAAAAAGGTTTAAATTTAAAATTTTAGCGTTCCAACCTTTTCTGCGTGCGTGTGTGTGTGTGTGTGTGTGTGGTTTTAAGGCACCTTCTAACAGTTCCACAAGTTGGAATCACCAACCAATGCTGATAACATCAAGAAGTCACACTCCTGGGTAGACTACCAAAGTCAGAAAGAAAAAGGTTATAGCCCTTCGGCAACACGCCTATAATTTGTGTAATTATATATATATATATATATATATATATATATATATATATATATATGTGTGTGTGTGTGTGTGTGTGTGTGTGTGTGTGTGTGTGTGTGTGTGTGTGTGCGCGTGTATGTGTGTGTGTGATCTGTATATTCGGTCCAGGGAGCCGTCACTTTGTAAGCAAAAAGACTGTCTACTTGGACTTCAAGTTATTAGACTCTAGTGTTTATCATACATTCCCCTCACACTCCCACTTTTTTTCCTTTGTTCTGTGCATATCTGCGCGGTTTGAAATATACATTTTTTTTTCTCATGGCATTAATTAATTTCATTTTTAATGTTTTAATTGTATGTAGGGTGTTTGTGTGAGTCAATATATATTGCAATAATTGTTAAACTGTTCCCAGTCGACCCTGATGAGCTTGGGAACGAAACCGGTTGGTCTGTTCTGTTAGTGATATCATTTCTTATTTTCTATTTTTATAATGCCTTTAGGAAATAACATATCTATTCCTTGCAATATATATATATATATATATATATATATATATATATATATATATATATTTGGACATTCTTTAGCCATTTTCAATTTTTCATGTGTTTTAATTACTATTCATATGCATATATATATATATATATATATATATATATATATATATATAAGTATTCTTAAATATAATGTTAATAAGTCCGCAAACAGATACGTAGTTATTAGTTATATTGTAATCTGATATTTACACTTGAAAATTTTATGTAATTTAAAAGTGCTAAATGAGAATGTTTAAAATTGAAAAATATATATATATATATATATATATATATATATATATATATATATAAACATATATATATATAAATATATATATATGTAAATATATATATACATATATATATAAACATATATATATGAATATATGTATAATATATAAATATATATACATGCATATATATATAAACATATATATAAATACGTATATAATATATTAATATATATATATATATACATACATATATATAAATATATATACAATATAATATATATATACATATATATAAAATATATATAATATATAAATACACACACACACACATATATATATATATATATATATATATATATATATATATGTATGTATATATATATGAAGCAATATATTTTCATGGTGTGCTATATTTATGGGATACAGTGCTCAATATCAGAAATAGAGCGTATGTAAATATAAATATAAAAGTGAACATTGAAGTCAATACTCAGAGGTGACTGGCTGTTTCATGCTGGGACGCAATCGTCAGGATCTATATATAAAATAAATGATCTGTCATCCGGAGATGACTGACTTATTAATATGGATGTACGGTATAATCAAGTAGAATAGTCAAAATCATTTCTCCTTTGTGATTATTGGCAGCTGCCTAAACTAACACAGACAGTTACTTAATTGATTTTGTTTAACGATATCAATTATCCTGTTTTTACTTCATAAAGTTTTGACAAATGTTTTCAATTATGTGTTTTCTATTAGTAAATAAATGGCGACTTAAGCAAAGGATTCAGATTTGAATTGAAAAAATCTGCGGACACTTTAGCTAAATACGTCAAGTTATTTCGTTTCAAATGACATTAGCTTTATTTATCCATCTATTATTCTTAGATTTAGCCATCGGCATTGATTTTCTAAAATTATTTCGTAAGTTTATCGTCAATACTTTTCATATATATATATATATATATATATATATATATATATATATATATATATATATATATATATATATATGTGTGTGTGACAGAAAGTGAGAGAGAGAGTTTTACGTACAAATGATAGAATAATTTTGTTTGTTGGTACACGCAGATTTTGTTACGTAAGCTTTGGTTTGGGAATATTTTCGTTCAAATAATGCAAAATTAGATTTAATCAACAAATTATTAAACTCAATGCCGAGTAAGATAAATGAGGCAAGAAAGCACGTGAATATAAAACAGTGAGAAAGATATGAGAGATATATAAAAGATACCAAATTGAAAATAAAGCAGCGAAGAAGAAAGAAAGAAGAGCGATAGAAAGAAAGAAAGAAAGAAAGAACGATAGAAAGAAATAAAGAAAGAAAAAAGAACCATTGAAAGAAATAAAGAAAGAAAGAAAGAAAGAAAAAGAACCATACAAAGAAATAAAGAAAGAAAAAAGAACCATACAAAAAAATAAAGAAAGAAAAAAGAACCATAGAAAGAAATAAAGAAAGAAAGAAAGAAAGAAAGAAAGAAAGAAAGAAAGAATGATATAAATATAGAAGTGGGGAGAAATGGACGAATGAAAGAAAAATCGAAGAGCAGAGAGTAAATAATGTCCGAAAGAGAATAATGAATGAATGGATCAATTAAAGAATTTTAAATATATATATATATATATATATAAATATATATATATATATATATATATATATATATATATATATATATATAGATAGATAGATAGATAGATAGATAGATAGATAGATAGATAGATAGATAGATAGATATATCCGTGAAGACAAAGATAGTATGAAACAAAATATGCTTTCATAGTCGTTGATAAAATGTAGGAATAAAATGAATTTTGAAAGAAAGAAAGAAAGAAAGAAAAAAGAAGCAATGAAATCTGACAGAAAGAGAAAAAGGAACCTCAATGAAAGACTAGATTAACGCACAAAGAAAGAGTTTAAACAGGATATTCAAGCCTAAAAATAAAAGCGGATAAAACAAGCAAAATGGTTGGCGGCAAGTTTATTAAGAAAGAAAGAAAGAAAGAAAGAAAGAAAGAAAGAAAGAAAGAAAGAAAGAATGAATGAATGAAAGAAAATATATAAAGAATTAATTACATCAGGAAAGAAAAAAGCGAGGTAATGTGGAAGAAACAGACGACAGGTAGAAACGAAGTTTTGATTGTTTGATAAGTTTTTATGGATTATCAACTCTTTGTGATTTATTTAAGCTGACACATATTTCGTATTGTAGGGACTCGCTTACAGTAGCTGGTGTTTCCAAACGCCCCCCCTCCTCATCTAAACACTAAGCAGGAACGAATGACGGAAATAGAATGTAAGGAAGAGAGACAGAAGATCAAACATGAAGTCAACCTGAAAGGAAGAAATGAAAAATTAATGCAGTCTGATATAAGGAAGGCAAAGAAAGAGGCATGAATCTTGGAAGAGAGAGATGGTTAGGAAAGAAAGAAAGATACTCAAAGAAAACAGGGAGGGGAAGGCTGTGGTTCCGAAAATAAGAAAGGAAAGTAAGTGATTTGGATGCAAAGGAACTTAGTCGCAAAAAAGACAAGTAAACAGCTTAGAGTGAACAAAGGAAAGGACGGTAACATTTCAAGAAAGAAGAAGGAGATACGACAATTAATAAAAGCAGAAATCCACCAAAAACATAAAACATTGGACAAATGCACTTAAACTAATAAAAGATGTAAAACTAAAATCAAATTTAAGAAAACTTCAAATCGTTGAACTAAAAGCGAGCCGTTTATAGAAAGACATTTGCTGTAGTGTAATGTTTTAAAGTGGCATTTCATGGAGATATTTGCTCCTGCAATGGATTCGGGTTTTACTGAATGACACACAACTCTGGCTTTGCTCCAGGCTATGCTAAATTTAGTAAATAAGATTCGGCATAAAATAATAATGAAAATGTCGGAAAGACGAGCAACTATTTGATGAAAAACAAGGAAAAGCATTTATAACAATGTTGTGAAAAGAAAGAAAGAACGAAAGAACGAAAGAAAGAAAGAAAATAAAAAGTTAATTTAAAGAAATGATGGACAGATAGATCAAAATCGGAGAAAATATGAAATATATATGAATAAGAAAGAAAGAAAGAAAGAAAGAAAGAAAGAAAGAAAGAAAGAAAGAAAGAAGCGCTATGATAATAGATAGCGGCTCGGATGAGGAATCAGAGAGATGAGTTCGAATTCCAGTCGAGTTCATTAGGAAGGTACGAATCCATATCTCTCCCCTACTACAGGACATACTAGGTCCATTGGACTTTGATGGAGAAAAATTCAAAACTTGAGGCAATATCGTATTGCCTATAAGGCTACAGGGACGATATTCCGTAGTGTTCGACTATCGAGGAGATGGGTGCACACAATCTATTTGAAAACCCACTGAAAGGATCATCAGGAAAAAAAAAAACAATGTCTGTTTTTTCTGGCCTCATGACCCCAGCCAAGTGAAACAGTTGAGGGTCTGCTGCTCTTCCTTCTGATGATGATGATGATGATGATGATGATGATGATGATGACAGTGATGGTGGCGAAAGAAATTAGAAAAAAATTAAAAGATAAAATAAAAGTGGGAATACGATTAGAGTGAAAGAAAGAGAGAAAGAAAAAAAGCAAAAAACTGAAAATTTAAAAGAAAGAAAGGAGAAATAAAGTTAACTAAAATAGAGACAAAGGAAGAGAAAAATAAATGTGGAAAAAAAAACATAAATTCGCGGTTGTAACGAAGAAAGAACAACAGAATATTAAAAAAAAAAACAAATAAATAAACGAATGGAGAAAGGAAAGAAGCCATATAACAAAGAAAGATATTTCATCGAGTTTAAATGTCTCTTTCTTTTATCAAGAAAAATAAAGAAAGACACATGTAAAACAAATAGAAAGCGGAAAACAGAAGAATTGGAGGAAAAAAGAAACGATGTCATTTATAAATGGAAGAGTAATATTGCTGGGAGAAATTACTTAATAATTCAACAGATGAAGTTTCTCGCCGTGAATAAAATCTCATTTCTATTCAAGTCTACTTTGCGCCATCTTTTTCCTGGGACTTTACTTTTTACAATCCTTTGTTAATCCTAATAAATCTAATGCTCCCAATCTCCTTTCTTCCATAACAACTGCTAAACTTTCAAAGCAATGACATATTATGCAAATGGCGCATGAATATTTTAACACGAAGAAATTATATTTACGAGCAGTGACGTGAATATTTTTGGATTTAGTTCACCTATTGAAATGTTCTGATAAGCTAATGACAAAAGTGTTGTATTTATTCAGTCAATAGGATTTCTTAAATTCCTACAAAAATTACTGATATTTCCAGGTTAATTTTCTTTAAAATGCATTTATATTTGAGATATTATTTCGCTAACGATTGAAGACTGAAGACGAAGTGAATAAAAAAGTTAACATGGTGCATAACGTTCTGAAACGTCGAACAAATTTTAAAAAATATAGTGCATGGCTTTTACTGGAAAAAAGTAACTGATCAATATAAAAATAGTATAAGTATAAATATAAAAATAATAGTAATAATCATAATACAAGTGTAGTTAAATAGTTCTCCACACATCAGATTTTAGGTCGGTCCACGAAATTTTCAGCATCCCTTTTTAATAATATGACAATAGTGCCTACTTTCCTATATTTCTCTGAACCGTTTTCAAGAGCCCAGATGTTGGAAATTCGTATGATACTTCAAACGTAGGATAGTAATTCTATATTTTCGTGTGTGTTTAATGCGATTAAAGATAAAATTAAAAAGAAATTAAAATTATATATTGTCTTAGATCTAACATAAAATTATTTCTACATTTTTCTGATTATACTATAAGAACTGTAAGAACAGTTTAAGAAATATCGAATTCCCCCCGTTAAACAAAGAAATATTCTGGATGCTGAAATTCGGGAAAAATCTAACTGGGACAATTGATGAGATTTTTAAAGGGCTTCTGGCAAATCCTCCAGAAGAGCTGGATGTCTTTTGTGTTTACGTGTGCATTCAGTCAAGTTAAATAACGTCGGTCCAAAGTATGTATAAATATATATATATATATATATATATATATATATATATATATATATATATATATAAACTCGACCATGTCTCTCACACCACTCCTCGCTACCGTCTCTGTTAAATTACATAAACATAATACTACCCGTCAAAAGTGTAAATTTTCATTTAATTTTTCGTTTCATCGTTTGAAAGTGATGTCTGATGATCCAGTGTCCTTTAAAAGGTCTCTGGTGAAATAAACTATTACAATAGAGCCTTAAAGTGGTCTGTTTTTCTTTAAATTATTAGCTCTGAATTTACATTGAGCTCTCAGGATTTCATCCTCCTTGGGACTACCCATACGGATTACCAAGTTTTTTTTTTAAATATATATATATATATATATATATATATATATATATATATATATATATATATATATATATATATATATATAGGAAAATATATAAATATTTATGTCAGGAAAAGCAATGACAAAGTGTCAAAAAAGTTTCAAATTTCAACTTGCTTTCTCCTTCCTGCGCAAAGTAATATCAACATAAATATCACTTTAGTCCGATATATATATATATATATATATATATATATATATATATATATATATATATATATATATATATATATATATATATGTATATATATATATATTCTGTTCATACTTCTTGATGGATACAGTTATTTGAGTAAATGCTCTGTTCTTATTGTTTCTTTTTTAATTAAACTGTATTAATTACATTTTCCGACCTGAATGCTGTCCAGGGTAAGACGATAAACTACGTCCAGCAGCAATGCTTCTGATCAGGAAGTTTTGAGGAGTGTGGAACCCCCTCTTAATTGCTGGTGTAACCAGGTCTACTATGAGCAAATAGTTAACCCCCAAATTGTGGTCAAAACACTATTTTGAAGAAATATTATTACCAGCTATACATTATTACCAGCAATAAATTTTTGAAGAAAAAAATATTACTAGCAATAATTTTTTTGAAAAATTTAGTACCAGCACTAAAAAAACTTATCGGCATTAAATAACTCATTGTGGTTGATATGCCGTAAAACAAAACAAAATAAAAAGGGTTGAATTTTCGAGAAATTTCGTAGAAAATATACGTCCTCCGACAGCAATCGGACGTGTATTCTGTACAGAAACGTCATTTAGCCTGACGTGCTATTACTGCTCAGCAAGAAGGGACTTCATGTTTAGCAAAACTCGAATTACTGCTTTTAAGCTACAATTTCAGAGCAGATATGATATGTCCACACAAATCGGCAAAAGTGTGTGTTTAAAAGCAATAATTCGAGTTTTGCTTAACCGGACGTCCTCTGTGGTTGCTTTTTTAATCGATCTATTGAACTTATGAATTAGCAAACCAGATAAGTCAATTAACATTTTTGATTAACAGAATATTATAGCACTAGTTACTTATTAAGCACCTTTTTTCAAAAGTTCTGCTATCCTAAAAAAATACGTTGAATGTTTGTAATATCTTCAGTATTAATGCATGTATTAATTATAGTTCCATATACCGAAGCATGTCTGTACTGCCACACTCCTCCCTCAAATAGTTCTAATAAATAAATAGGCGTACAACAGTTATGTTTGAAAATGGGATCTTTATAGCCACACAAGCAAGTTCATGATGTTAAAAGCGTGCTTGATGCGTTCATATCAGGAAGACGCAAACTAAAATCAACGAATGTGTGTATGTAGGTGAGGACATCCAGCCAAGATGGAAATACCAAAAATTGACAATTATTTAAAAAAAAAAGAAAGCTTACAGCTGTATCGAAAGATTGATTGATGTCATGAAGAACAGGAGGACGCCATTGAAATAGCATAGTACTAAAAGCAAAATAGTAGCCAACAATGACCCCAAAGTTCCTCATAACAGGACATATCTGATATTGTGAGCTTCCTATTAAGTACCGCGCATATAATATATAAATATTAATAATATATATATAATATATTACACACACACATATATATATGCTTATATTTATATACACACACTTTTCACACACACACAGACACATAAATATATATATATATATATTAGCTTAAAAGCCGCCACATTAGCCGGCATTTAAGCTAGCTCCTGCGGAGCTCTCTTAATTGGGCCTTCATCGCAATAGGTAGGGTGCAGTAGATGCGAGAGGCAACAATAAATTACAGAAAAACTCAAAAAAGTTCGTCGCAAAAAATTCACTTAAAAAAAAGTCGCCGAAAACAATAACAGTAATGAAAACTTGGGAATCCAAAATTTCAGGATGGCGAATCCGGATTCGGACCGCAATATTTTTAATTTGCATACAGAGTCTGCATGTTTCCATAATGTTATATGTTTGACGCCGACCTCTAGAAGTAATTTTGAAAAGGTGTAACACACTGAAGCACTAACATTTGCATTTAATATGTAGATGTGTATGTGTATATGTTGAGCGCGTGTGTGTGTGTTTTGTGTGTGCATATATATATATATATATATATGTGTGTGTGTTTTGTGTGTGCGTGTATGTGTGTGTGTGTGTATTTGAGTTTTCTATGAGTAAAAACTATATAAATAAAATGTATCTGCTTAAAGGCGATATGGACTAAGGCAAAAGCATTACTTTTCGTGACCAACATGATTCATACTCTGATGGATTTTATCAATGCAAATATTCATCGAAGTACGTGTAAAGAAATGTTTCCCTTTTGAATTTAATCGTATGTATATCTAGATGAAGTTTTCATTCGTTTCTGTTTACCTGTTGTGTCTTTATCTTAGATGCATATTTAATAGTAAATAGTCTTTTCATTTGGTTCTCTGGGTATTCGGATAGAAATATTCTCTTCACGCCTGAAGCTTATACTGTTGTCGTCAGATACCGGAAACTCATTTCAAGTTCAGCCTTGAAATGTCTTAACTAATAGTCGATTAAATCCAAAGGAGAATGGAATCAACCTTGCAGCAGGCGCAGCATTTGTTTGCACTTGACAGTATCTCGAGGTAATCCTGCGGTGTCTTGCGAACTGTCCGCAAAACCATGCCTGAAACTAGGAGCACCACGTGAGAATGGCTTTGATGGAGACAGAGTTATTGCTATTACAGCGCTTAAATGAATGCATACGAGGCTCTGCTAAAAAGTTCTTGATCCGAAAAACTTGACAAATGTCGCCAAACAAAATGAGATTTAAAAAGCAACACACACACACACACACACACATATATATATATATATATATATATATATATATATATATATATATATATATATATATATATATATATATATATATATATATATATATATATATATATATATATATATATATATATATAAAAATTTAAGCCAACACTCACAGGCGACAGGCGACAGGCTGTTTCATGCTAACGCTATCGTCAGGCCGCCTGATGATTGCGTCTAACACGAAACATGTCGCCTCTGAGTGTTAACTTCAATGTTCACTATTATATTTATATACGCTCTATCTCTGATATTGAGCACTTTATCTCAAATATGGTACACCTTAAAACTATATATATATATATATATATATATATATATGTGTGTGTGTGTGTGAGTGTATGTGTGTGTGTGAGTGTGTATGTGTGTGCGCGCCCGCGTGTCTGTGCAAGTGTAATAGTAAGTATTTAACTTGACTTTTTAGCTTCTCAATTTTCATATGCAGGGAAACGCGCTTCAACGAATACAATCTTCAGATTTATATATATATATATATATATATATATATATATATATATAGTACTGTCGTGTGTGTTTTCGACGAATGAGTGTCAAGCAGCTCAGATCCGAGAAACTGACAATAAACTATCAACATTGGATTATAGTGGTGAAGTCTAGTTCAGAGCCATTCTCATACCAAGAACAGGTGCACAATATGTCACAAGGTCCCCAAACAAG